AATTGTCTGTATATTTTTTTCAATAAGACTAATGTTTCTTTTTTTTTCTTCTTCGCCTTCTTTCTACAACTACTTTCTTTGCGAGTGTCAAAGAAAGAATAGAATAAGTCAAAAGTGTGATCATTATTATAATATCCAAGCAAATTGCTGTCTTCCGGGCGAAAGAAGAAAAAAAAAAGAAAACCTTCAAATTTTTATTTCTTTCTTATATCAATGTAACTCTTATTTTTCATCGATTTGATATGTTTGCAATAAATAATTCTCTCGTGTAATAATAATAATGATGATGAGTAAAAAAATGACGTAGATGTACGTGTGAATTGCCTGAGGGACAAGTGGAAAATCGATTTCCTTCTATAAGAAAATGCATCTTTATCACTCATCACGTCTTACTTCTATCCTTTCTTTCGTTTATTCAATCGCTACAAAGAACAGCTGTGCGTGCTAGCAATTAGTATATGGTCGGTCGGATCTTCGTCTTTCAGCCTATTAACTGCATATGCTTGCCACATACTTAGAAATGTAATAAGCAGAGAGCGTCGACGACCCATGTAGATCATCATTCGTGCGTGAGCTTTCTCGTAGGCATACACATCGATCTTTGACAATTTTTTCTTTGATTATAAGAATCAGACATATATATGTATATATATTGACATAGACAAAGGTTTCTTCTACAATGAACAAGTCATATAAAGGAAAAAGGTCAATGTCCTGCGTCCCTTCTCCCTTTACTTGCTCGTAGGTGCACAGGTTAACATTGGCAACATCTGCATCGTTCTCTGACAATCAATAAGAAATATATATGAATACGATAAAGAAGAATCAATAACATGTAAAAAAAGAAGAAATAAGAAAGTATTAAACAACTAAGACGATAAAAAAAAAAAAGAAATTAACAAAATCTCTTCTTTGGAAAGTTTATACATATGTTTAAACATTGTTTATATTCTCTTTGATTGTTCTTTTTCTTTTTCTTTTTCTTTTTACTGATTCAAATGAGCAAAAGAAAAAAGAATTATTTACTACCTAGATCGATCATAATTGTCTTTGTTCATAAATTGATTATACAATCTGGCGAACAACGATGATGACTCATTGATTAGAATATCTATAATTCTGAAGTGGAAACTAACAAAGTTAATTCTCTCCGAGCGAAAAAAAATGTCCGAACAATGTCACTTTATTCGAAACAATTGATAACGACGACGATCGACAACAAGCTTGATAGACTTCTATTTTCATAGTAATAATAAGAAGAAGAAAAATGTTACTGTTATTTTGCTGAATCGATCAGAACAATCAACTATTAGGATCTTGTCATGTGTATAGGCATATACAAAAGAAAAATCGATAAGACAGAGAAGAAAAAAAACAGAAGAATGTATAGAAAGACAGAGAAACAAGATAAACAAATAAGACGGAACAATTAGAGATCGAACTATGCCAGGTGGTAATCTTCTTATTGTTACTAATGCAAAGATATGAATCTAATCATATGTCTACAGTAAATTCCTTGCATTTCTTTTTCGCTTACCTCATCATCTGTTAAACCAATATTATTAATCGATTCCATACTTTGTGAAAGACTATGTCCGCCAGAACCACTACCGTCATCACCATTATGAGTTGTCAACACACATGACGTGTTGTTATTAGTATTATGATTATTATTTGTCATCAATAGTGAAGTACTATTGTTAGTATTAGTAGCCGTTAATGAGTGATGTGTGTCACCGTTAGGTGGTATTCTCGAAAATTGTTGATTAGAAACCGAAGATCGATGAAATGGATGTTGAAGTTGATGATGAACAGAATGAAGTGTTGCTAATCCTGTTGTTTGTAATGGTTTTGGTAATGTCTGTTTAGTAAGTGTTGCTTTAGCTCCTATCGATGATGATGATCCTGGTAAAAGATAAGCGGCAGAAGATGATGTCACCTGCATGATTAATTTTTATATATGTAGTTAAATCTAAATATAAAAAACATCCAATATTGGACTAGTTTATTGAGCACAATATAGTTTCTTTAGTCTGTATTCTTCATTCTATGTACCCAGAAAGAAGAGAAAAAAGTGATACACGTCTGCTTCAACCACGGTCATGTGCATAAATTTCTCTATCATTAGTCAGAAGAGAGAGAGAGAGAGAGGAGGAGGGAGGGAAGGAGGTAGTAACGAGAATAGAAGAAAAGGTCGTTCTGCTAAGCACTGCATGTATGTTCTCTAGCTGTGCTACCGAACAGAGAATTGAAAGGTGTTGTGTGCATTCGTGCTCTCTTCGTCTCATTTGCTCTCGTTCCATCGTCGCTCTATAGAGAGAGGTACGGACGTTTTCTTCTCTTTCTTCTTCTTTCTTTTTTTTTTTTACTATTTTTTGTCGTCTACATTGATCTATCTATTTTTCTGTCTATTTTTTTTTCGTATTTCTTCATCTTAGACACACAAACATATGCACATAACATATCTCAGTATGTTTCAAATCAAAGAAAGATGTGTGAGTAAATGAAGCTAAAAGAAAAAAACTGGTAATAAGAATAAACGACATTAGTCAATAGAGTCAGTTCTTGACAAGTAAATTGTTCTCATCATTATTTCATTCTACGTCTGGTGCATGCACACATACAAACTCGTTAACGAGAAGAATAAGGAAAATGTATTGAGAAGAGAGCAAGAGAGACTTCATCTCGTGCTCTCGACGTTTATTTTGTTGACAACATCCACGAACTGCTGTTACAGTGCGACTAACCTATAATCATGAGACATAGTATTTTAGCCCAATTAAGCACTGGCATTTTCTCTAAATTACAAAACTGCGTAAGTTATATTAGCGAGTACATAAGATTAGGCAAACTTGAAGGTCGAGTGGCCTATGGTCTATCAACAATATGACATAAATAAAAAGAATAAGAAAATAGAAAAAAAAAAATGATAAAGACAAACAAAAAAAAACGAAGAGAAACCAAAAAAAAGAATGAAGATGTCTAAAGAGATTCTCATCATCATAATTTCTTTCTTTATTCATATTGTTTCAAAATAAAGGATGCATGCATGCACGCACACATCTCAACACGCTATAACAAGCACATGCAAAGAGCTGGCAAGCAGACACGAAAAAAAAGGGGAACAGTGCAATTTTGATTGTTTGTTGATGTTTTTCAGGACAAAGATTGTATCGAGCAATTCTTTCGTTCTTCATATTATTCATTATTTTTTTTAATACACTATACTATTAGTGTTGCTGACACGCACACATATAGCAAACATCTTTTCTACGCATGATTAGTGTCAATATCTCGTCACTATATTTGACAGACGTCAAGCAATAAAGAGAAAACCCAGTAGTTCTATTAACAATAGAAGAAAGAAAAATACTTCAAGTCATTAAAATAGATGGAATAATTATTGATCAGAATCAACAAAATTAATCAACTAGTTGACACAGAATAAAAGAATTTGATATGAGACAAAAAAAACAATTTTTTGCAACATATATTCATGCATATGATTGAATTATTGATAATATCTAAAATAATTATTTACAATAGTTATTATTACTTTGTTTGTTTAATAATAATAATAATGCGTTAACACATCATAGAAAGTAATCTTTAAGTGTCAGCAAATCCATTACTATTAGAAAATGACCTTTGCCAGAGATCGTAATGAAACATATATAATAAACGCTGAGTGAAAGCATACTAGAACCAGACGAAAATGATCTTATTAGACTTAGTTATATAAAGGATTGTATATCAAAGTTTTTTTTTTGCTAGAAATAAATACTATATCCCATTTATTCTGATTAATAATTTGTTTTTTTAACCGTTAATGAATGTCTAATAGTAGAATTCAATTCATCTTATTACTTCGTGTTTCTTTACATTAACATCTGCTGCCAATGACATGAACATCCTAATATTTTTTTGTCAAGGAGATGTATTACATAAGGACGATATAGACAATTTTTTAATATTACAAACGAAGCTCTACATACAACTTTCGATAGTTAATTTTTATTGATTTTTAACAGTGTTAAAATATGCAGAATATGTTTTTAAATAAATTATTCCACATCAATATAGTACAGCTACTTCTCAATGTTAAATCAATTTGCATATTTTTATGTAACTTTATGAATAAACGAAAAAAAAAAAGCAAATATCTTTATTCTTACACAAATAAATGTGATTAAAACAAATTTTGAAAAATTTCATATTCTACTCTATAAATATATATGCAAAGATAAATGTCTTAACTATTCATAAGAGTATTATTATATTGCTAGAAAAAGCTTATTTTCAAACAACAATTTATGTCTAAATATAACGCTTAATCATAAATATTCTTTTGAAAAGAAAAAAATATATATCTTACTCTAGAAGCTTAATATAAACATACATAAATCATCTACAATGAAGAAAAAAAACATTTGTAGATGAATACAAAACCTGAAGAGTTATATTGTACATTGTCTACTTAAAATATCCGAAGCTTAATATAATCCATGCCGCTTGCTTGATAATACTACCGTTGATATACTGCAATAGTCATTAGAACTGACAATATATCAGCAATAGATTGCCGGTCAGAGAGCAACAATCAGTATACCACAAATTATATCGATGATTTTTGTCCGTTTCGAATCACATGAGAACTTAACATTAGACAGAAGTAGTATTCAATTATAGACTAGATTATCTTTGGATAAAATTAGAATTTCAGTTTTGTCTGAAGGAAATTAAAATTAAATTAGATGTAAATCGATCAAGTCGAAGATTTCGAATTTGTACAAATAAGAAGTGTTTTTTCATAGTATAAAGTATCTTTTATATCAAACAATTTATAATTGATCTTATTTTTAACCTATTGACCCATATTTTTACACGATCCTAGTTTAGAATGACATGCAATCGAACTAATAACTCTTATTTTTCTTTTTTTTTTTTTTTTGTACATGTTGTATTGTTTCGTGACATATTTTCTTCGATAGTTGCTTATACATTTGCCTGTCTATTCATACTGTAACGATTAAACATCGATATTGACAAATTAATTTATACAAATATTTGATATAGACAATATTTAATGAAATACAAAAGAAAAAAAAATTTTTAAAATAATAAACTTCTTTGTTTGTTCAAACTTTAAATATTGTCCAATTTTGATCGTAACATCAACACATATCTATTGCTTCAGTTTTTTTCTTATGTTACTTATTGTAGATAACTTATAAATGTATATGAATTACTCTAAGAATCAAGTTTTGCTCAACATCTGTGTCAATATCCTATTTTTAGTTAAGAAAAATATACAACCAATTTGGAAGCTTAAGCTTATTTTTGACAGAACTGTTTATCATTGTATTACTGTATATTAATAACAGAACGATCAAAATAAGTTAAGAATATTTAACATGATAGATAGCACTAGAGTACGATATATCAATAAAACTTAACGCAGAAATTCATAATTTAATATTATATTAAAGAAAAACAATTCTCAATATTTTTTCTTCAAAATTTCCATAGAAAATATTTATTTTTCGAAATAATGCAAAATAAAAACGAAAAATTCAAACTAAATATTGTCGCTACAATCAAAGCTTGTCAAATTATTAACAGTAGCGAATCGTTAGTTAATTAATCATCTATTTATAAAATATTTTTCCATCTAAAGAAGGAAAAAAAAAGAAAGAAAATTTTATTCTCACTATGAAACATCTATAAATTGTTGACAAATCATCACACTTTATTTATTTTTTGTTTTCTTCTTCTAGAAGAAAATTATTTTGTTTTCATTTTTCTTTTATCAATGCTTGAAATTAATTAAACATGAGTTTATCAACAAGTTCTCATGCAAAATCCGATGCACTTCAATCAATCAAAAATTATCGTGTTTCAGAATTACAAGTCTGTTATTTTATAAATCAAAAAAAAAAAAAGAAGTATAAAAAACTTCATTTTTCTTCTTGTTTTTAGGCTTTACTTGATGTTGCTAATTTATCTCGTCAAGGACATAAACGTGATTTACTTCAACGTTGTAAATTACTTATTACATCAAATTTTACTCCACAAATAGCTAATAAAATTCACCAAATCAATAATACTCGTACACGTCCAACTCGATCACATCATGTATCATCATCAACATCATCATCATCATCATCATCACGAAATCATCCTATTGTTTTACCTAAAACTCCACCAATTGAAGTTTTACCACAAGCTAATCATATACAATTTATTAATTTACCTTTTTTTGAAAAAATGCGTATTATTGAATCTACAAATATGCCTGTTGATTGGCATACATTTTCTCCAATGCGTTTTTCATTAAATGAAACTGATATTGATTTAATACGAAAAAATATTGCTAAAGTTTTTCTTCGTTTAGCACCGACAATTATTCATGAACGACATAATGATGTTTTACCACCTTATTTATTTGTTCAATGCAATGTAAGAATTAATTTTAGTTGTTTCATTTTAAAATCTTTTTTTTTCTTCTTAGAATCAACCGGTAATTAATAATAATATAACAAAACAAGTTGGTTCACAAGCACATTCAATATCATTTCCAACTGATATAACAGATAAAATAATACTTAAAGCAAATGCAAGTAATACAATAAATTATCTTTGGTTACAATCACCAACAACAATGTCATTTAAAAATTTACCAAGATCATATACAATATCAATACAATTAGTAAATTGTGTATCAATTGATACATTATTTGATTTAATTATTAAACGTGAACCATATACAAATAAAACTGATAATGATAATGATAGTGATATTGAAATTGAAGATTTAGGTTTAATGACAACACGTCATCGTGTTTCATTATTATGTCCAATAACACAATCATTAATTAATGCACCAGCTAAATCTTCTTATTGTTCACATTTAACATGTTTTGATTTAAAAGCATTTTTATTAAT